TCCAGGACAGACAAACATCTTTATTAGGTTCCACTCCTAAGTGCAAGTTTTTCGTAATTGCTAAACCCATAGGAGTCACACACTGCCTGGGAAATGGGAGGAAATCAGGAAAGGGAAGGCAAGTCCAGTTCTTTGGATCAAGAGCCCCTCATCAATATCAAGGCACCTTCCATGAGGAATCCAATACGTACAGCAACATGTAACTAGTACCGTAGCACTACCACCATCATTATTTGTGTAAAGTACTCTAAAGTATGATATTTCATTTTAATGATGAACTATCATAATGTCAATTTTATTTTTAGTATCTGCAGTTTTAGGATTTGCAGGGACTTCTAGTAATACATTCTCCATCAATATGAAGTTCTTACTAGTGTATATTTCACACACTGAAGTATTTAGTACACAATACTATTAAAAACAATTTCAGCAAGTGCAGTGATAAAGGAAAAACTTACTCATACATGCATACATTTATTTAGGTTGGGGAGACAGGGAGAAATAGGCCAAGACCACAAATATTTTTTTAAATCTCGGTGAACATAAGAAATAAATACTGGAATATTGTAGCAACATACAGAAATGACTATCTTGTCAACCTGAGTTTTCAAAATCAGTTCATTAATTTTTTAAAAATGGCCATCTCCCACTGAGAAGCGTACTGACATCACAGTTCAGATGGCATGTTAAACTGCATCATCCTCACCCCTCCTTCAGTGTAGGCACTGCACTTCCCACCTCTAGGACTCTTATCCAGCTAATCAGTTTGCTCTGAATCCCTTTATAAATGTTACTTTCCTCACACTCAAACAGCATAAAACCACTTGCCTCCGCTCACTGCCAGCTAATGCAATGACACAAGTCTGTCGGATGTCCCGAACCCTTAGTGCTCAAAACCTCTCTTACCCCTTCCCTCCAACCAGGGATAACCCCTACCCCTCCCTCCCTCCCTCCACCCTAGATTTATATATACTCCATGCCTCCTAACCTCCAAGCTCCCAATTCTCTGCATAACATTCACACCACACATTGCCCTAAAGCATGACATGTCCACTGCCTCCAACCTTCTCATTTAAAACCCATGCTTCACACCCACATGAGTGTTATTGCATTCCCTTTCTTTTGCCTCTACTGATAAAATTGATAAAGTTCTTTGTTTACACAGGTTCCTCAGTGCACCACCCACCATTTTTCCTCTGTCAGTTCTATGTTCACCTCATCTTTGATAAACCTATTTGCCTACAGGTGTGCTCCCAAATATCTGAACTCATTTACTTCCTACATACTCCATCCAATCTGATATCCAATTTTTAATAACCTGGATTTTTTGTTACTCAATCACTTTGCTCCTTACTATGTTCTCTTTTAATTTCCTTCTTTTGCATACCCTTCCGAATTCTTCCACCGATCCTTGCAACTTCTCTTCAGAATCGCTGAAAAAAAAGTGTCATCGGCTAAAGAGCAACTGCGACAACTCATTAATTATAAATATACTCGCATATCATTCTGTACTGTATTATGATGAACGATTTATGTTAGCTACCTTATAATTTACTGGTCTTAATTTAGTTTCTGTTGTAATCTTACCATATACAGTACCTAATCTATCCTAGCCAGATCTAGTCCACTGATTTGCTAGTGTTCATACAAACCTCATTTGCTCAGTCTACCAGTCATTACAGTGTTGTTGTGATGCAAACACTACAAAGAGTGGGGAAGTCAATAGTTTTCAAGAGGCCTAACCTTACCTCAAAATTCTAACCCCAACTGCCTCTAACCTTTCCCCCCTTGCTTAAACCTAATTTCCTCCCATTTCCCAGGTGCTGCATAACCTTCATGGGTTTGGGTTTACTGCTCTCCCATGAACACAGCTGTGTGTGAGGTGTTGAGGAGAGGTCATATGAGCTCTAGGCCTGCTCAATGCAGGCCTATCCACTCAAACTGACTAGACTAGAAGTGAGCTCAACAGAGAAACATACAGCCATACAGGGCATAACGATGAATAGCACCTATAATGGCAATGAAAACTGACTAGTGTGGTCAAGTGGTATAACCAGTGGAGGGTTACCCTCTGTTTGAAACTGTGAAACAGTGCTCAGTGGGCCTTAGAGCCTCAGCCTGGGTCCACATTCCATTTCCCTTGCCTCTGTGTTCAGCCTTTTGCTTCTACCAACCTGTGGTGTAGGGGTGGTTTTCTTGCTGGAAAACACTCCTTTCACCTACACACTCAGCTCATCGTCTTCCCCAACTTACGGATAAAGGCTAGTTTTGCTGAATACCCAGACCAGTGGACTTTCCTGCTAATAAGCTATAGAAAGTTTGTGCTTAATTATTTGGGAAGTGCTTTGTTGCATCCTGCAGTGCATGGTGACCTCAGCAGCTGCCAGATGCTGCTAGTTAAGTGTGGCAGGGAAGTTGAGGGGCCATCTATAAACTATAAAAGGTTTGTACTAATTTATCTGTGCACCTGCCTTTCTTTCTAGTGTACAAGTGCCAGCTATGTTAAGTGCCATAAGTTTAGTGTAAAAGCGATCTGCACAAGTACTGCAGTACTAGGCAACTGCTACTAGTTTTTTTTCCTATGAATTACCTTGAAAGTACCACCATATACCCTCCATTCGCCACCTGTCTATCTGTGACCACACACTCCAAGGTCATTGGCAGTGTTGGTGGATAATAATATGGATGCTTCTGGCACAGTTGACTCAGAAGGTTATACAGTGGTCCCTTGGTTTTTGTAAGCATCAGAAGTCATAATTTTCGAAAATCGTAACTTTTTTTCATCAAAACATTAACTCGCGAATCATCGTTTGACTCGCAAATAGTCGTTCATTCCAGACAGGTACGTATGCCTCGAGTGGCTCCACACTCCATTCCCAGCCAGTGTGCCGTTATTTATCATTGAGTGAGGACGATCCCGTGCATTCATATGATACATTTCATAATACAGTGGACCCTTGGGTAACGATGCCATCAGATAGCGATAAAATCGGATACGATGCATTTTTGTGTAAAAATATTGGCTTGGCCAACGACGAAAGACTCAGTTAAGAACATTCGTCCCAAACGCGTCTGCATGGCCTGTGCCACCCACGGCTGCCCGGCCACTATGTACAGCCAGTGTGCCATTGTTACAAGCCAGTGCGGGTGGTTCCACGCATACTTGTGATACATTTTGTATTATTCCATTGTTTTTACTGCTTGTAACTGCTAAATAAGCCACCATGGGCCCAAAGAAAGCTTCTAGTGCCAACCCTGTGGTAAAAAGGGTGAGAAATACTATCGAATTGAAGAAAGAGATAATCACAAAGTACGAAAGTGGAGTGTGTACCTTCGAGCTGGCCCGGTTGTATAACAAACCCCAATCAACCATCTCTACTATCTTGGCCAACAGAAAGTCAATCAAGGAAGCTGTTGTTGCGAAAGGTGCAAGTATGCTTACAAAACAGAGATCGCAAATACTCGAAGATGTGGAGAGGCTGTTATCAGGAGATAGTGTTTCACAGTCAATCATATGTGAAAAGGCAAGGCAGTTACATGTGGATCTCATTGAGAAAATGCCTGGAACTAGTGCTGATGTTAGTGAATTCAAGGATCCCAGATGAAGTTATTATTTTATTATTTTTTTTATTAACACACTGGCCGATTCATACCAAGGCAGGGTGGCCCGAAAAAGAAAAACTTTCACCATCATTCACTCCATCACTGTCTTGCCAGAAGGGTGCTTTACACTACAGTTTTTAAACTGCAACATTAACACCCCTCCTTCAGAGTGCAGGCACTGTACAGTACTTCCCATCTCCAGGACTCAAGTCCGACCTGCCGGTTTCCCTGAATCCCTTCATAAATGTTACTTTGCTCACACTCCAACAGCACGTCAAGTATTAAAAACCATTTGTCTCCATTCACTCCTATCAAACACGCTCACGCACGCCTGCTGGAAGTCCAAGCCCCTCGCACACAAAACCTCCTTTACCCCCTCCCTCCAACCTTTCCTAGGCCGACCCCTACCCCACCTTCCTTCCACTACAGACTGATATACTCTTGAAGTCATACTGTTTCGCTCCATTCTCTCTACATGTCCGAACCACCTCCTCAACAACCCTTCCTCAGTCCTCTGGACAACAGTTTTGGTAATCCTGCACCTCCTCCTAACTTCCAAACTACGAATTCTCTGCATTATATTCACACCACACATTGCCCTCAGACATGACATCTCCACTGCCTCCAGCCTTCTCCTCGCTGCAACATTCATCACCCATGCTTCACACCTATATAAGAGCATTGGTAAAACTATACTCTCATACATTCCCCTCTTTGCCTCCAAGGACCAAGTTCTTTGTCTCCACAGACTCCTAAGTGCACCGCTCACCCTTTTCCCCCTCATCAATTCTATGATTCACCTCATCTTTCATAGGCCCATCCGCTGACACGTCCACTCCCAAATATCTGAATATTCAATCTTTCATCACCTAATCTTATTGTTATCCTCATAACCTTACTCTTTTCTGTATTCACTTTTAATTTTATTCTTTTGCATACCCTACCAAATTCATCCACCAACCTCTGCAACTTCTCTTCAGAATCTCCCAAGAGCACAGTGTCATCAGCAAAGAGCAACAAGTTATTATTTGATTTCCAAAAATGCTTGACCCACCTTTTGTTGAAGGTCTTCAAATCAGTGCCTCTGCTAGCGTAATACTCAACTGCTTTTAAATAAAGAGCTTACTAAATGTTTTATATACACCTTTATTTATTTTACTTATTATATAAGTGAAAACTCTGGTCACGTCATCATGATAGGCTTCACTAAAGTTTCCTATTCAAAGTAATTAATGCATTTTTCAGAAAGCTGGTCAAGTGAGTAACACCCGTCCTTTAAGAAAATTATAAATAATTCACTGAAGAATTACTTACAAACTTGATACACTGTTAGTAATGAGCATTTGCCACAAGAAAATCAGCCTAGCACATAGCTAAACCCAGAAAAGATTAAGTACCTTTTTACTGCCCCGGAAGATTTTACTTCTCAACGGTCGTTCTTTACTAACAAAGAGTGGACACCTATCGATGAGTTGATGAGCTTGTTGACTTCTCACCCCATAGTATTTCAACAGGATGGTGGCTAGACTAGAGGCTGTTACAATCATTTGGTCTGTGGCATTCTTCAGGTCATCCCTGTAAAGATATGCATAAAAAAAGTAAATACCAGTAACCAAAATTTATTCATTACTTATTAGTTTTACGTGTATTATGTAAGTGCATCTGAATGCAAATGAACATACATGCATTCAAGTGTGCATGCATGCGTGAATATATGCGAGTAGTGTGCATGTCCATGTGCTATACATGCGTGTCACTTCATAACATTGCTGTGAGGTATAGCTTCTACTTACGAAACACTCTCGAGACAAGGCACAAGCAGATTCTCCACAATCTGTAATTCTTTGGTTTTATTGTGCATACTCTCCTCCAAGGCATGATCTGGGGGCCCAAATATGGACCCCAAGCCAGCACTTCGTTTGTTGCGAAAGTCGGCTAGCTGCTCATTTAAATCTTCCCGGCAACGTTGACGGGCTTTCCAAAATACCTTAGAGAAAGAGGATACAATATAACAGCAATTGTGCAATATCAGTAGTCTTAAATTATTCACTTTATATCCTGTGTAATATGTATATAAAACTAACAATAAACAGCAATGTGCTAATTTTTCTAAAATATAACTTAGAAATGTATTCGCAAACTTTATTTCATTATTCTGATACAGAATAGAAATTTTTTTTTTTTTTTTTTTACATTTAATAAAAACAAGTACAGTTAGGTCACACTTATATGGCAGGTTAGGTTAGAGGATACTGCCAGAAAGCCGAATGTCATTTTTTTCCACTTGTATATGCATATAAATGTCAGGTAACAAGTTTATACTAACATATATTAAGTTAGCAATAGAACAGAGGCCTAAATAAATAAATATATATATATATATTATAGGTAGTAGGTTGGTAGACAGCAACCGCCCAGGGAGGTACTACCGTCCTGCCAAGTGAGTGTAAAACGAAAGCCTGTAATTGTTTTACATGATGGTAGGATTGCTGGTGTCCTTTTTTCTGTCTCATGAACATGCAAGATTTCAGGTACGTCTTGCTACTTCTACTTACACTTAGGTCACACTACACATACATGTACAAGCACATATATACACACCCCTCTGGGTTTTCTTCTATTTCCTTTCTAGTTCTTATTCTTGTTTATTTCCTCTTATCTCCATGGGGAAGTGGAACAGAATTCTTCCTCCGTAAGCCATGCGTGTTGTAAGAGGCGACTAAAATGCCGGGAGCAAGGGGCTAGTAACCTCTTCTCCTGTATATATTACTAAATGTAAAAGGAGAAACTTTCGTTTTTCCTTTTGGGCCACCCTGCCTCGGTGGGATACGGCCGGTGTGTTGAAAGAAAGAAAGAGAGAAAATATATATATATATATATATATATATATAATATATATATATATATATATATATATATATATATATATATAATATATATATATATATATATATATATATATATATATATATATATATATTTTTTTTTTTTTTTTTTTCAACAAGTCGGCCGTCTCCCACCGAGGCAGGGTGACCCAAAAAAGAAAGAAAATCCCCAAAAAGAAAATACTTTCATCATCATTCAACACTTTCACCACACTCGCACATTATCACTGTTTTTGCAGAGGTGCTCTGAATACAACAGTCTAGAAGCATACACATATAAAGATACACAACATATCCCTCCAAACTGCCAATATCCCAAACCCCTCTTTTAAAGTGCAGGCATTGTACTTCCCATTTCCAGGACTCAAGGCCGGCTATATAAAAATAACCGGTTTCCCTGAATCCCTTCACTAAATATTGTTCTGCTCACACTCCAACAGCTTGTCAGGTCCCAAATACCATTCGTCTCCATTCACTCCTAACACGCTCACGCGTGCTTGCTGGAAGTCCAAGCCCCTCGCCCACAAAACCTCCTTTACCCCCTCCCTCCAGCCTTTTCGAGGACGACCCCCTACCCTGTTTTCCTTCCCCTACAGATTTATATGCTCTCCATGTCATTCTACTTTGATCCATTCTCTTTAAATGACCAAACCACCTCAACAACCCCTCTTCAGCCCTCTGATAATACTTTTTATTAACTCCACACCTCCTAATTTCCACACTCCGAATTTTCTGCATAATATTTACACCACACATTGCCCTTAGACAGGATATCTCCACTGCCTCCAACTGCCTCCTCGCTGCAGCATTTACAACCCAAGCTTCACACCCATATAAGAGTGTTGGTACCACTATACTTTCGTACATTCCCTTCTTTGCCTCCATAGATAACGTTTTTTGTCTCCACACATACCTCAATGCACTCACCTTTTTTCCTTCATCAATTCTATGATTAACCTCATCCTTCATAAACTCATCTGCTGACATATCAACTCCCAAATATCTGAAAACATTCCCTTCTTCCATACTCCTCCTCCCCAATTTGATATCCAATTTTTCTTTATCTAAACCATTTGATACCTCATTCGTATCCCAATTTGTTTGTATGCCGAGTCAATTTTCCTCATCTAAATTAATTGAAATGGCATCAATCCGTTCCAGTGAATTCCTGCTCTTAGGAGGCACAACAAAATAGTTCAGTATAATGCTAATATCAACTCTATGGCTTATTTATATATCACAATTCATCTGATTTCACCATCACTCAAGGAATGCACAACAGGTGCATCATTTTCAGTGTTCAGCATTTCTTCGATGTCAGCTTTCTGTAACTAGATTAGCCCACAGTCAAGATGAGTAAATAGAATTGTCAATGAGAAGATGATGTAATCAGTCCATCACCCCTGAAGTCGTAAATTTGAGGTTGTCAGTCCCTCAGCCTGGAGAAGTTCTGTTCCAAGGTCTGGAACTAACTGAAGATCAAGCGACAGTGTTGAGACTTAAATACTGTCAGAAGGAGAGGTGCAGAGAAGTAGTAGTAGTGAGAATGTAGCCACTGGGAGGTCACGTCCCTCTCAGATCAAACGATTCTCACTTGCAAAGGTTGACCAAGGTGTTTTCTCTTCTGTACCAAGATGCCATTGTGTTGCAGTTTCTGACAGAGTGATTATCAAATGGTATACAATACCGACAGGTTGGTAGATAAGACACATAGGCAACATTTAGGCAACTTTATTCCGAAACATTTCACCTACACAGTAGGCTTCTTCAGTCGAGTACAGAAAGTAGGCAGGAGCAGTAGAGATGAGAAGACGATGTAATCAGTCCATCACCGTTGAAGTCGTAGATTTGAGGTTGTCAGTCCCTCAGCCTTGGTACAGAAGAGAAAACACCTTGGTCAACCTTTTCAAGTGAGAATCGTTTGATCTGAGAGGGACATGACCTCCCAGTGGCTACATTCTCACTACTACTACTACTCTGCACCTCTCCTTCCGACAGTATTTAAGTCTCAACACTCGCTTGATCTTCAGTTAGTTCCAGACTTTGGAACAGAACTTCTCCAGGCTGAGGGACTGACAACCTCAAATCTACGACTTCAAGGGTGATGGACTGATTACATCGTCTTCTCATCTCTACTGCTCCTGCCTACTTTCTGTACTCAACTGAAGAAGCCTACTGTGTAGGCTGAAATGTTTCGGAATAAAGTTGCCTATGTGTCTTATCTACCAAAGAAGGGGTGTTGGAAATGAATGGTTGTCCAGAGCAATTGGTATTAACCCTTTCAGGGTTTCGGACGTACTAATATGGCTTACGCACCAGGGTTTTTGACATACTAGTATGCCTAAATTCTAGCGCCCTTAAATCTAGTGAGAGAAAGCTGGTAGGCCCACATATGAAAGAATGGGTCTATGTGGTCAGTGTGCGCAGTATAAAAAAAATCCTGCAGCACACAGTGCATAATGAGAAAAAAAAAACTTTGACCATGTTTTTAGATTAAAATAGCGACTTTGCACTGTATTTTTGTATGGTATTTATTGTTGCATTCTAGTTTTCCTGGTCTCATTTTATAGAATGGAAGACATATTACAGAAATTGAGATGATTTTGACTGGTTTTACAATGAAAAGTACCTTGAAATTGAGCTCAAAGTAGCAGAAATCTTCGATTTTTACCAAAGTTCAAAAGTAAACAAATCATGCCAAGCGTCCAATACACGTCAACTGGTGAGTCCAATATTCTTTCACAAGTGCACTGATATTAGTTATACCATTTCTACACTAATGCAGTAGTCTGCATAACAGTGAATCTTCAATTTTTTGTAAGAATAAAAATAACAGTGAATCTTCAATTTTTTGTAAGAATAAAAATTCAAAGTGAAAAGCCAAAGAAATATAAGAGGGGCCTGGGGATGTGACTAATGAACAGAGAACTTGTTATTTTAGTGCCAGGAATGTCTTTCTTGTTTATTCTGGACCCTATTCGGAAATTGGCATCTTTTGAAATTTGTGTGAAATTGGCAAAATTGCTAAATTATGACCACTTTATTGGATAGTTGAAATCGGTAAATGGGTGGTTTCTTGTACTCATTCGATAGAAAAAAATGGAGTTTTAGCAAAATAGTTATGATTTTTGTCGACTAGTACACTGTAATTGGCCGAAAATAGGGCTCAAAGTGGGCAAAATCGCTGATGCGTAAACATCGTCGAGACTGCTAACTTTGCGAGAGCGTAATTCCGTAAGTTTTCCATCAAATTTCATGCTTTTGGTGTCATTATGATAAGGAAAAGATTCTCTATCTTTTCATAAGAAAAAATAATTTTTTTTTTTTAAATTTGGCGACCCTGAGAACAAGTCTCGGAGAGAGCCTGGCGACCCTGGAAGGGTTAATTGTTGGCTGGATAAACACTGTAAGGATAATGGAGTACCATTCATTGACAACTGGGAAACTTCTATTGCCGAAATGACATGTATGCCAGGGATGGGGTTCACTTATCCAGGGCAGGTGTGGGTTTTCTTGCTAACTCAGTTGAGGGGGCTGTTAGGACTTCAAACTAGGATTAGTTAGAGGTATGGGTTTAGAAATGATAAATAATGAGTATGGGTATACAGTGGACCCTCAACCAGCGATATTAATCCGTTCCTGAGAGCTCATCGTTAATCAAAATAATCGTTAGTCAAGTTAATTTTCCCCATAAGAAATAATGGAAATCAAATTAATCCGTGCAAGACACCCCAAAGTATTGAAAAAAAAAATTTTTTACCACATGAAATATTAATTTTAATACACACAAACTGAAGAAGACATGCACAGTTACATGACACTTACCTTTATTGAAGATCTGGTGATGATTGATGGGATGGGAGGAGGGGAGACCGTTGATCTTGTTAGTGTTTAGAAGGGGAATCCCCTTCCATTAGCACTTGAGGCAGCAAGTCTTTTTCTGGGGTTACTTCCCTTGTTCTTTTAATGCCACTAGGACCAGCTTCAGAGTCACTGGACTTCTGTCGCACAACACATCTGTCCATAGAGGCCTGTACCTCTCGTTCCTTTATCCTAAAGTGTTTCACAACATTGTCAGTGTAATAGTCACCAGCACGGCTTG